AGTTCACTACATAAAGATAAAAATGCATTCATATTTCTTCAATTTTCATGCTTTTGTTTGGTCAAAAATGGCCGAAAATGGCCAAATTCAATGGATCCGTCTCCATGGCAACCGGGTGCACGTGGGAAACTTCTTACACCATATTTGCTGGTTTTGTACCAAGCTGCACCTGTGGTGCAAATTTCATCAAAATCGGAGATATGTCGTTTCCAAGCCCTATAGTAAATTTTTTGGTGCTTACAGAGAATGCATGTTAAATAAGCTACCGTAAGTAAGAGCATAGTTAAGATGAGCAAGAGTGCCTCTACAAAAATTGTGAATTTTATGGCCCCAGGATCTGGGGTTCTGGTGTTAAGGTTGGACTCTATTGATTATATAGTGAAAATACATTAAATCTTTGAAAATTTTCTTCTTTGTCTCTGGTTATGAAGCAGATGAACTACCTATATATAGTTTTGATGAGCAAGGGCCCTAATCTTGCAGAATTGTGAATTTCAAGGCACAAGGGTCAGGAGGGGGGGGGGCTCTACTCATATACTGAAAATGAATTAATTGTTTGAAATCTGGTGCTTTGTATTTATAAAACATTTATTTACTTTTTGATAGGCAATTTTAAGGGTGCCTTTTTAAAATTTGTGCAACTTAGGGTCAGGGGTTTATGTCAGAGTGTTGGGGGCACTATTGATTCTTGATGAATATTACTGATTAGTTGGAGTGCATTTTTGTTCCCCTACCCTGCGTATGGTTATTCAGTAACCAAGCTAAGCAACTGCTAAGTTTATTGCTATGATGATCAAGGGTGCCCTTTCAAAATTGTGAATGCCATATAGCATCTGGCTTAAAACATGAATCAAATTCAATACACTGTAACTGGAAAGTTGTTGCATAATGCTCAGGTGACCTATAAGGCCCGTAGGCCTCTTGTTTTAATTGTAAAGTGTTATCGTAATTAATACAGCAGTCTTAGAGACATTAAATTGAAGTGATATGTTGTACAATTTATCAGAAGAGTGATTCAACGTTCTTGATCCTCCTGTATTTTATTCTTCATAACAACATTCAAGGAGAGTTATAAATCTTGAATATAGTACATGTAGGTTTCACTTTATTTTGATTCATTATTCCAGGTATAGTGAAGACACTCTTCTTGTTTTGGTCAATGCTTTTTGTGTGCATAACGATACCAAATGAACACTAAACATATCCGCAATTTGTTGATTGTTTTTCACACTGTGTCAGGGGCCTTTGAATCGCTTAAAACAATTTGTGTGTAAAAAATAAAGGTATGGAACTCTTAAACTGGGTACCCAATTTCGCTAATTAAATATTTTTTTATTCTAATGCTCTAAAATTCTACTTTCTATTGAAATCTGTTCATACATAAATGTTCTTCAATTCTACCAAAGCTCATTCCAAACTTCCGTATATTTCTTGATATATTCTGAATTCAATTTCAAAAATGACCTACTTTCTTTTACTCGACATAAGCTTGGGCCCCTGATCATTCACATGTAAACAGACGGTGTTTGAAGTGCAGCGAAGAGATGCATAGAACTAGTATTTCCCAAATCTTTCAACAATTTAAAGCTGATTTCTTACTCCAGATTTAAGGTTTCGTCCGTAATAATTCCTTTCGCGAAAAATGAATTTGAAAACGTCCACATCAACAACTACACTGCCATGTTGATTATGAATGTAAAAGAAGCTGTGGTAGAACAAATTTTTCCCGGAATCCATTACATACCTTTCGATTTTCAAAACAATTAGACCGCTAAAATGTTATTTGTGACATAGTAAGATCATATAATCAAATTAAAGAAAAACCTTGTAAAGCTCGAATGCAAGTGAGCAAATATTCATTAAGTTTATAATAAATTCCTGGGAAAATTTGTCCCGTCATTCCCGCTTTACAATTAGTGAAGGCCCAAGCTGATGTCAGGTTAAAAAAAATTAAGGTCAATTTGGGGATTGATTTCAGAATATCTCCAGAAGTACAAAGAATTACGGAATGAACTTTGGTAGTTATGAAGATCATTTAAATTTAAATAGATATAGATAGAAAGTAAAATTGTGAAGCATTTCATTTGAAAGAATTTATTTGGCGATAGTACGTGCCTATGAAAAGAGTTCCAAACCTTTATTTTTTTTTAAACCTCACTTTTTTTTCTAAGCGATCTGAAGGTCTGTACACTGTGTTATCAAAACAATGAATGATATTAATTTTTTGATGAGTTATCTAAATGAATGAAATAATTATAATGATTATGACTACATATTTTGAGAAACTCACATACTTATAAACCTATATCAAGTGATTTTTATCATTTGAGCAAGTTGAAAAATTAATTGAAAGGCCAGTACGTGCTGGACTTGTACTTCACCCCTGAAGCATTATAAGGCCTGGCCACAATAAGGTATTGAATTTATACAAAGCAAGGCCATAATTTGAAATTTTGATAACGAAGCATCTTTGAGTAATGTAGATTCAAATTTGTTCAAATCCAACTGCCCCCTGGGGGTAGGGCAGGGCAACTGTAAAAATTATAAAAAGATCGTAAAGATATAGCCTACTAAAACCGTGATTAGTCAAAGAAATATGGAAACATTCTAAGTTAGTATAGAAGCAACTTATCTCCTTTCCCTTGGAGAGATAGGTTTGGACCACGTGTATATTTAAACTTTTCAGTTTATGACTAATTTCTTCTGTTTTTTCTCTAATCCAAAATAAATACTACGGTGAGTGCTGTGATACATGGACCTTTTGTTTATTTGTAGATGGAGATGCAGTTTTGATGTGCCTTCTGCTCTGCCCTTCATACAAAATAAATCTGAAATCTGCCGACTGGATACAGAAATATAATGCTGCTGCCAAAGTTTTCAAATTTAAGAAGATTAAGAAGCCATCTAATCTCAGCAACATAAAGAAGTACAAACCAATACTCAAACAGGATACTGTGGATGTTGAATTTTCCTGTGAATTCTTCAGAGACACCAGCTTTCTTAGATTTGCAAGGGATCAGAAATTTGTGAACATGTTTCTGGAATGGGCAGAAAAAGAAAACATTGCAAAATACTGCAGATCATCAAATTATCGGAGAAAAAAGGCCGAGGAGGAAGTTTTTTGTTGGTTATTGCCAAATCAAACAGAACAACTGATAGAAAAACTTGGAGAAGACATGTTCACACACGCAACGATGATGGACCAATCAATACATGAATTAGTGTATACCAAGCGTATGTTTCTTTTTAGTTGTTTTACATAACATTTAAGGTCTTTTCACCATATTGGTGTACATGATTTTGAGTTCAGCTTAGAGGAAAGCTTGTTGACTTCTACTTTCACAATATAAAGTTCAGTGTCAGAGCTACACTCTTGTAAGAAATGTTTTCTTCATTATAGTTGGCATACCAGTACAGGTTATAATGAGAGGTGATGAGTCTGTGAGGAATTTCTTGGACAATCTGAAGAAAGGGGAGACGACCATGTACCACGCCTCTGGGATGATCATTGGGTGTGCAGGTAGTGGGAAGTCAACTCTATTAGAAAGACTGAAAGGCATCGACCTAAAAGATATTCTGAAGAATTCAACATCGACCAGGGGCATTGACGTACAGTCTGACGTTTTTGATGTGACAGACACCACAGTTCGAGGTATGGCGTGTTAATGATTTCCAGGCATTTGATTTTAATCATGATAGAATTAGTAGAGTTAATCAGGTTTGTTTAAAAAGGTATCTAATGAGATTCTTGTCAACAACAGAATAGTTATAATTAGTCGTATTAATTTGAAAGCATCCTGATATGTATAAATCAAGCCATGATCGGTCAAATAACTGCTCAAGGTAGTGTAGATTCAAGGTTGTTCAAAACATACCCCTGCCCCTGCCTCTCCTGGGACCATATATTTTAACTTTTCATACTGAACAGATTTCTGCTTTTCTTCAACCAAAGTACTTACATAGTGATGCAGCTCATGTGCCTCTGGTATTTGTTGCTATATTAAATTTCAGTTTTGTTACTCAACAATTCCAGGGTGTGGTGTCCACTGCCCCTTAAGCTTTTAAGCATTTCAGTGGTACACGATTATACAATATCTAGTAAACGAAGAGTACAAGATACCCCCTTTTCATATAATATAAGCTTGACTTAAGCGGGAAAAAAAACGAAAAATGCATTTTTTTTTATCAAAGAGTTATAAAGAAAAGAAATTCTTGATTTTACTTGAATAAAATGAAAAAAAAAATTCTTGTGATTTTTTTTTTTGCAGTAAGCACGTCAAACGAAAGACAACGCTTTAAAGTGAAAATTGATGAATCAAGCGAACAAACGACTATTTCAAATCAGCCTGAAAAATTATCACGTGACATGTTAAGGTTAGACATCAAAGAGTCAGGGGATCAGATGGATGCAGCCAGTATAGCAAACGAACAAGAATCGGTCAGTGATGAAGAAATTACACATGAGAGCTTGGATTTAGATTCTGAATCAAGTAAAGGGAATGAAGCCGCTGCCTTTGTGGAAAAAGAAGAGGTCTTAGTTGAAGACAGCAGACAAAATATTCCTGAGAAATCAGAAATATCAGGAATTTTACGAGTGTCCAAGGATGTTTTGGATGAACCAGAGAAAAAAATTACCATGGTGGACTTTGCGGGACAGTGTTCATATTATGCCTCACACCAGATATTTTTGAGTCCAAGGGCATTCTTCATTCTGGTGCTGAATATGGAAAAGAAATTTGATGAAAAGGTTGGAAAAGAAGTCTGTCGCCAGGAAGGTTCCGTTTACGAAGGCTGGACACACGAAGGTATGTTTTAGTTACATTATTTGTTGTGTAGTATGCATGAAATCAAATGATATACTACAAGATACTAGTATGTTAAAGAAGAAGGCATGGTTTTAGCTTTATTGCGCCCTAAAAATGAAATGACATCAAAAAGTTTTGAAACTGGCTTAAATATTAGTTAGATAAATGACTCTGATAAATCAGGAAAGAATATGGCATGAAGGTTTACCATTCTGCAAATATGACGTCATTTATGTAAAGCATTTCTCTATTTTCAACAGAAAAAGCCTCAAAATGGCATATTCCAAGGGTGATTTTCCTTTAGAAAACTGTCCACAGCCGTCGCCCACGTAAATTTTTTGATATTTTGTGCAAAATTCAATAACAAATCACATATCTCAAGATCTTTGTGGGCGATGCCTTAGGACAATGTTATCTGAAAGAAAATTTCATTGAAAATAGGTGTCTTCTGCAACTTTTTAAGAAAATACGGAAAATGCACATGTTTATGACGTCATAATAAGCATTTAAAAACACATATGAGAAAAATAAATTGTATGATTTTTCTGCATTGAATTTCAATCATTTAAAAGACATGTGTTGTCAACTTTCAAACCAGCTTTATTTTTTAGAAAATCACAGGGCAAAATTTGTATGGAAACCATACCTTCTTCTTTATTTGATAAGTTTTCACACACATTTCGATGCAGAGTTTAGTTCATCTCAAGAAATGCATAATATGTTTTTATTTCCAAGATTGTAGAACAATTTTGAACTTGTGTCCCTAAAACTATGGAGTGCATGACCATTTATGTCCGTTGCTGTTGCTATGTAAAAAAAAATGTAAACAAACTACCATTCCCCCTCGCTTTACCACCCTTCCCCGCAGTCACGCATTTTAACGCATATACCATTTCCTATTTCTAACGCAAATTCACGCATTTACCGTTTCCCCGCAATCACGCATTTTCAAGCACTTTAAAACTTCATTTAATCTTTAATTTATTGCCAAATTACAACTGTTTTACACTTGCTTGAGTCCTAAAAAAATAAGAAAAGTTATTTTCAAAGTTTTCAAATGGTAAAGTAATATTTTTTATTATGCGATGTTGCATAGCAATTCTGTAAGTTGTACGCTGCTTATAGTTAATAGTTTTAAATTGTCACTTTTTTATCCTTTTTATTTCACCTTAGCCGAAAGCTCAAGTTTTTTTTTTATCACATTTTGTCCGGTGTTCGTTTCTCTGTCTGTAAACCTTTCACAATTTCTACTTCTATTCAGGAACCACTGCGCCAATTTTAACACAAATTCAAAGTCTTTCAAAGTCCTCTCTAGAAAAGCAACTCCATGGTTGGTCACATTTATATGAAACTTTTGTAAATTCAACTTAGTTCTAAAATGACCCTTAGGGGTAGGAAAGGGCTACAGCGAAAATCCAAACTTTTAAGAAAAAATGTAAGAGTTTTTCAAAAATTATGTAAACAATCCTTAGTGTACATTCAATTTGGTTCAAATCACAATTTCTTCTCCCTTGATGGGATAGGCTTTTACCATTTATGCATTTAAGCTTTTCTTTACTAAACTGATTTTTCCTTTCATCCTAAGCTATTGCTCAGGGGGGCGATGTGACCCCAGGGTCATTGCTAAGTTTGTTATTGTAGTCTTTGGATAAAGTAGAGTCTGTAAAAGGACATATATTCATATTTTAAGGAATTGCTGCTTAATACCTGAGGTTTCTTAAACTTCAAGATAAAATCAACTTAAAATTTAATAATAATTTAATAATTTCATCTAAAAAAAAAATTAAGGCCCCGGGAAAATGCAGTTTTAGTGATATAACTCAATTCACGTCAAAGCTATATTGATGTACGTACGTTGTCTTTCTTTTTTGGGTAATTAAACACATGAACTTAATAAAGGCTACCGAAGGTTTAATGTAAGTTTACAGTATAATGTACACTGAATAATAAAGAAATCGAATAATTGTTAATTTGATTTTTTTTCAGACTATTTAATGTTCTGGGCCAAGTCCATTCATCAATACAGCAGTGAAAAGGCCCCTGTTATACTGGTGGGCACTCATGCTGAACAGAAGACAAAGGAGGTATTTGATATTAATTTCTGAAAAAGTTTTTTTAGCTCTTAGCCGAAAGAGCAAATGAAGTATTCGATCAAACTTTGTCCGTTGTCTGTCGTCGTCGTTGGTGTTGTGTTGTCGTCGTCTTTGAGAACTTTTCACTTTTTCATTTTCTTCTCAGGAACTGCTGGAATAATGAAGGACCATGCCCTTTTCTAAGCGAAGATAAATGTGAATAAATAAACAATTGATGGCATCATATAAAAGTCATTCTCAAGAACGACTTGGTGAGGAACGATAAACCTAAATATAAAATAAAGCATCTTCTTGTAATGTAAACTCAACTTTGTCCTAATCATGGCCCCGGAGGTAGACCTAGGCCGCAATGGGGAATCATATAAGAATTCATCGAACAAATCTTAAAAATCTTCTCTTCAATAACCACTTGGCAAAGAAAAATGAAACCCGTGTGGAATCAGTTTCTCTTGGTGAAGATTCACATATGTTCAAATCATGACCCACGGAAGTAGGTTGGGGCCAATATGGGATATTAAAGTTTAACATATGAATACATAAAAAAAAAGTCTTTTAAAAGCTTCTCAAGAATAACATGATTTATCATGATTAGTCATTAATATATATTGAAGCATTGTCTTGTAGTGTAGATTTAAGTTTGTTCAAATTATGACCCGGGGATAGGCTGGGGCTGTCAATTGGAATGAAAGTTAAACATAGGAATACATAGGGAAAATGTTTTAAAGACATTCTTTTTAACTCAAATAGAAGCATTCTCTAGTAGTGTAGATTAAAATTTGTTTAAATCATGTCTCACAAATGTAGGCTGGGTTAACATTAGGGAGGGGGTCAAAGTTTAACAAAGGAATAGGAATACGTTTGAAAAGTATTCAAAAATCTTCTCAAGAATCGCAGAGCTATAATCAGAGTCATGGTTGGTCAAAGTTATATGGAAACAACAAAAAAGATAGTGTGGATTCAACTCTGTTCAAATCATGAGTTCCAGGGTAGAGTATGGCCAAAATGGGTGAACAAGATTTTACGTAGGAATACATGGTAGAAATCGTTAAAATTCTCACAAGAACAACAGAGCCAGCCTAACTAAAACTACATGTATAGTTAACTAAAGTTTACTTTAGGTAACTATAGTGATCACTTTGACACTATGAAAAACTTAAGCGGAAGCTTTGACACTTTGAAAAAGTTTATCCAAAAATTTGACACTTTGAAAAACTTTATCGAAAAATTGACACTTTGAAAAACTTTATTAAAAATGTTTACACTTTGAAAAACTTTATTGAAAATGTTCTTACTTTGAAATAGTTTATCGAAAACTTTCACACTTTGAAAAAGATTATCCTAAACATTGAAACTTTGAACAATTGGGGCGAAAAACTTCTACACTTTGTAAAACTTTATCAAAAACTTTGACACTTTGCAAAAATATGGCGAAAACTTTGACACTTTGATTTACAATAGTTAATTAAAGTAACTATAGTTAGCTATAATGTTTTTGTCAGGACATGATTGATCATCAATATAAAAGCATTTAAAAATATATATTATGTTTATGAAAATTGGTTCAAATCATAACCAATCAGGTGTATTGAGTAGTATTAATCAGATCATAACATTGAATATAAAGACAATATTAATTAAAAAAAATCAAAAAGTATAAATAATAAAACAATCAAGGTTCATATTCAAGAGCATTCTTAAAAAGTCTAGATTTAAGTGGGTTCAAATACATCCCTCCCCTTCCAGGGACTCATTTTCATATTAAAACTTTCCAAAACTGAACTGAACAACTGAATAAAATTATATTATGAAATCAAATAAGTGACACTAATCACCTAACAGGCCAGGTAGTGTACATTTTTGTACTATGTCAGAGAGCAGGTGTTTTATTGATTTTTAAAGAATCTACTTTTCTTTCGATTACCGACCAGTACTGAATATATTTGGATGAAACCTTTTTGGAATTTTCAAATTGTAATACTGACATTTTTTTAATAATAAATTATATAAGAAACGGTCCTGTTTTGTATAGATTTGTTATTAATTGGTTTTATGCTTTCTATTTACAATTTGTAAAGCTTTCTATACTATAATACTGTCTTCATAGTTATGATATTCCACTGTACTTTTTAAAGAAGGCTTGTAACATTGAAAGTCAAACTTTCAACCTTACCTTTACAATCTTAAATCAATTCTAATTTCATAACGAAGTTATCAACCCTTATCAAATAATGTTTTCTTCATTTCTTTCATGTTATTGTACACTAAAACTCGGCTCTAGGGTTGTCACTTTGACCTATGAAAATACTTTTCTATATCCGTGAGTCATTATATCAATATTTGGAATTCGTGAAAGTTGTATTGTTGGGGATCCAAGCTAAATTCGCTTCATTCATAAATTTGCAATATCCAAATTCCTACTAAACAAGTTTTACTGTACATGTACTCCGATTTTTCCGAATACTTCATATTTACTAAAATTGCACATTGCATTAACATCTTTGATAGGATCGTCACAATAAAAAAACTGATAACAAATCATTTTTACATTCTCTCCTTTTTATCAGGAAAAAGAAAAGTATTTCCGTGCGATATGGACTACTTTGGAAACTAAGGATGAGTCTCTGCAAAAGCATATGGACAGGAAAAGGATGTTTGCTGTTGGATTCCATGAGAATGAATGCATTGAAAAAATCAAGCTGTCTGTTGTTGATGTTGTACAAAACCTAGATCACTGGGGGAAAAAACTTCCGCAATCCTGGGCTATGTTTGAAAACTACTTTAAAGAAAAGAAATTAAATCTCAAAATCATTAAAAAAGAGACACTTTTGGCTTTCAATGAAGCATTGCCACAGAACTTGAAGTTGCAAACAGTTGAAGACATTAACACCATGCTTCAGTTTTTCCATGACATCAGAGAAATTTTATACTTTGACCAAGAATCTCTCAAAGGAATTATAATTCTTGATGTTCAATGGTTTGCAGATGCGTTCAAGAATGTGATCACAGATAAAAACCACGCAGCAGAGGACTTATTTAAACTTGCCTCACAATGGAACAAATTTAATGAAACTGGCGTACTGAGTGACACACTGCTCTCTGCAATTTGGAAAATGAATAACAATGGATATCTGGAACACAAAGAAGATATTATGCGCTACATCGAGAAGCTGGGACTTCTTGCCAGAATGGATGAAATCACATGGTATGTTCCCTGTATGAACAAAAGACCATTTCCTGCAGAATGCTTTTCATTATACCCTGCCTCCTCCATCCTCTGCTACACGTTTGATGTTCTTCCTGCTGGAATTTTCCATCGTCTTGTAGCAACTTGCATGCAGATTCCATGGCAGATTTTTTCAGATGAGGACCGAGGATGCATTTACCACACGGCAACAATTTTTGAATTTGAAGACCAGCATCATATAATTATGCTTGGAATGACTCAAACAGATATTCAGTTGCAAGTGTTTGTTTTAGAGGGAGAAGTTGATGCTTTAGTGTGTCACCAGGTTAGAGAAAGAATTGAGAGTATTCTGGCAAATCTTTCCACCACATTCGAGAAAAACACAAAATTTCATGTTGCGTTCAAATGCAAAACTTTGGGATTTTGTGACAGCAAAGAAAGTGCTGTCATAGATGAATCTAAGTTTACAAGAGCGACTTTTAATTGTCCGTCCTGCCCGGCAATGGAAAAGCATGTAATAAAATCAAGCGCTATAACAAAATATTGGATGAAGGTAATGCTGTAAAGTGAAAAAAATACTACATTAATAAATTTAAACTTGTCTTATGCAAATCATCAATTTGCCAATTCTGATGTTTCTTCTAACATGATTGTATTAAATTGTATTTTTAAGATCATCACAACATTCAATTTTAGCTATATATTAACTGCTGTGTCAACTAATATATCCATTTTTAAGATATTAATTTCTAAGACAAAGCTGTAGGTGATACTTTTATTTGATTTTTCTTCTTATTAGATTTTTTTGTCTCCTGTAACAGTGTTAGCACTACTGATATAAACTAACTGAGGTGATAACTTATTTCAGATACAACAGAGTAATCCTAGCACATCGACGGTGTCTGCACAAGACCTTGGGGACCGATCTAGATTTGCCAAACTTGGCATGGCCACAAACGATGTGTTAAATCAGACATACAGAGATATACTAGAGATTGAAGTCCCCCTTCCCTTATCTATAACAAAGTGAAAGCATCACCAGATTTTCACAAAAGATTACGTCCGGAGCAAGAACAACTCTTAATAGATGCTAATAATTCGGGATATATGCATTTTGATATTTCATTAACATATACATTAATCAGAAACATTTGTAAAAAGATTCCTTTACCAACTAAAGGAAAATGGGGAGAAGAGCCTGCAGCAGGAGAGGTGACCGTGGGTGATGATATCGAGAGAATTAGGTCAATCCGGAACGGTTTGACTGCACATGTGAGCTCAGCCTCCACCTCACAGAAAGAATTCGATGTCACCTGGTCAATGATGTCAGATATCTGCCAAAGATTGGAGACCTTCACCGGAAAGAAGTATTTGGATAATCTAAGGGACATTCAAAAAATGACATTGAAAGAAGAAGATGCTATTGATATGGATATATTGCGTTCTCTTGTTTCAGATGTACAAAAAATTAAAAGAACATTAAAGATTAAAAGTTAAACGGATACAAATTAGGAAGTTAAGTACGTAGGCTGAAATATTATAAATATCACATTGTAGAATTTCGAAAAACGTACTTTACTATCCTCGCTGATATTAAAAAAAATACCTTAAGGTACATGTTCTTTAGTGGAAATTAAAAAGATTAAAATGGAAAGTCAAAATGAAATGATGAAGTCTATGTTGCTTGCTGTACAAGAAATAAAACCATCAGTATTGAGGGCTGAAAGCAAGCACGCATCGAATGTTTAAGTAGAGAAGGGTGTAGCTATAGTTAATGATATTAAGAGCATATCAATTGGAAATATACTGAGCTGGAGGATCGTGTTTTATTGCCAAACCAAATAAATCGCTCCACCAAGTTATTTTGAATAGCTATTGGAATAGTCTACTACAGTCATTCATCTCTTTCATTGTGTGGGATTGACTTTTTTGTGTAGAATATGGACAGCAAACAATATTGATTGTATATATCAAGTCATGTATGTCATCAATGAAATTCATTTACCACTGGTTTTAAAATAACAGGAATTCAATACTGATGGAGGAAATGAAATGCAAAATTGTTTACTGATAAAGAATAAAAGTAAGAATGAACTTCATTTTCTATCAAGTACATTACAAAGTAACTGGAATTCCATGTTGTTTACAAATGCAGCAATCTGGAGTTTATGACAGTTAACAGTGTCACGTGATGAAGGAATTTACGTAGACTCAACAGTGTTTTTGAGTTCTGTTTTGAAATTCTTTATTATTTTCTTAAAAGGTATTCTCAATGTCTAGCTACAGGTATTTTTCTTACAAGTTATGGTTGTATTGAACCATAACATTTTTAAAAATATCATTCTATCCGAATATATAACTGGGTGTTATATTATAATAATTTGACATAATTAGAGAACATGTCTTCAAATTAGAAACAAACGTGTCTTCAGTTTATTTCCTCCGTAATATTGTTATAATAGTGAATGATACATTTGTTTTAAATCTAAAATAAGGATAATAGAGATAACGAACAGTTTTTAATATCACATTTAATAAATCAATACAAAATACGAGCAGAACAAACACGAGCCTTCAGAACATCAGAGGTGGGATCAGGTGCCATGAAGGAGTAAGCATCCCCTGTTGTCCAATCACAACCGCTGTGTGTTCCTAGTCATGATCGTGAAATATTGGAAAATCCATCGTCAATTCAGAGTATTAATAATGGACTAACAATTCATACGAAAATTATCAGTAAGCGTTTAACTCGATGATAAATTGTATTCGCTGACAAGGTCTTTGCATCGACTACAGAAATTACGCAATTATGACTTTAAATGAGACTGCTGGTATTCTTGCTTCATCAACTTGCTTATCCAAAATTTATCTCGTTTTAGAAATTTTTCATTCGTAAAGCATGCTCTTGCATATTGAATTAACTGATACAAGATACTCTGTATGCTTTTGATGAATGTATATCGCTGCATACGTAAGGGAAGTTGACGATGGAAAAGTTAAAGTCATCACGTTTATCATATAGCTTGGTTGTTAGGTAAGTATACAAAAAAGAAACGTTCTCTAATTTTTTTTATAATGCAGCATTTTTCGTTGATTTTTATTTAAGTGAGGATGACATTGAAAAAGATACCTAGAAAATAAGGAGGAAACATTTTACAAAACTGCATGTTTCTTCATTGTGAACATTTTAATTCTTGGTTTAATTAATCTTTTTTGATTTTGAAAAATATTATCTTAATTATTCAAATATAAGAAAAGGAACAATTTCCGTCGTTAAGATGATACTTCCTTATTTTACCAATTTATACCGTATAAGTTGTTATATTAGCGAGACGCAAATTTAGCGATTTCTCCCTAAAAACTAATATAATTATTTTTTTGCGAGAGTCAATTTTAACGATTTTAAAACAGTTACTACCGAAGGTATTTTTTCATATATAACGCATTTCGTCTTTAGCGATATTCAATTTTAGCGTTCCCAGCAGCCTCACTAATAATGCCAAAATTATATCCTTGCTAAAATTTCTACTTATACGGTATGTGGTTTCCAGTACACTGTATTCCTGTTCCTCATTCTTAATGGATCATCTTACTGTACGTGTGCACATGCAAGAAAGCTCGATGTTGAGAAGATAGATAAAGAACTCTTTTTATAAAAAAAAAATGGCGACAATTAAGTCATGGATCACTCAAAAGATTAAGACAAAATATTTCAGGAGAAGCTTGATGATAAGATAAAGATAAAAATGGTGTTTATGATTGTACCATTTTTTTGCCTTCTCCTGCTATATATTTCTACAATAATATAGAAACGGACAATTTTGCTTTTATGTAAAAGATTTAGATATGTAAAAAATATGTCTTACATATATGTGATTTTTTACCTATTTCTATGTATTTGAACACAAACTATTTTTAATATTAATGTACCTGATTTTTATTCTAGACTTTGGTGTTATTGATTGAAGGTAAGGCTTTTTAAAGATGTATGTACACTTTATTCAAGATGAAAATAGTGCAATATTAGACTTTAAAGAATCGCTGTTTGCAATGTTTTTAGAGCAGCACGTCAATTGAAGTACCCCAGACGGTGATATCACCTTAGATTTGGTAATAAAGGAGGTCGTTGGTGGTATTAAGGTACTTGCATGTCAACCAGGAGTATTTATTTCAGATCATTGTATTCTTAAAATTGTCCCTAACGTGAACAAAGATTACATTAAAAGTCAAACAATCGCATGACGGTAGTTTAAGAATATTGATAAAATATAAATTATGGCATTTGGACAGGATCTAATAACATTTATGATTTTTAAATGTGTTTTGTGCAAGGCAGAGAGAACATGGAAAACTTGCAAACAACGCATCAGTACATTGGCATGAAAACAGCGCGCAACAAGTATAATTATGAGTTAAACCGAGGTAAAAATACAAGTTTTGAGTGAAAAAATACTTAACTTTAAAGGAGATTCCAAAAAGCTGTAAAGGTTTGTTTTGGAACTTTCTGGTACTAAGGCAGCAAATCTGATGTCAAATGCTAAAAGCGACGAAGCGCTTGCGGAAAATTTTGCTGACTATTTCTTGGATAAAAAAGAAAAGATTAGACAATCATTAGTAACTTTCGACATTTTAGCCAGGGCATAAAGATGCTCTTTCATTTAGTGATTTTTAAGAACTCTTGCCAAAAAAAGAAAATATAACTCCAATCTAAATCTTTCAAATTAGACATCCTACCAATCAATATTTTAAAATCATTTTTAAATGATCTTCTACCAAACATTACGAAATTTGTTAAACTTTCATTAAAACATGGTATCTTTCAAGCAAAATGAAAGTAAGCGATCGTTAGACCGCGTTTTTGGAAAACGGGTTTGGAACCGGAGTTGCCAAAATACCGGTCAGTGAGCAATCTTTCATTTCTTTCAAAACGCAATAAAAAAAACGCTCTTAAACTCAATACGCATGTAAATGAAAACAATCTGCTCCCCAAAAATCAGTCGGCATACAGACGTTTCCATTCTTAGGAATCTGCTCTTTTAAGACGTGTATATGGCCTGCTTGACGTTATGAAGAAACAAGTGGTTGCGGCTCTTATAACAATCGATCAAGCACCGCGTTCAATTCTCTAGACCATGAGATATTATTAAAAGTACTTCAAAAACAATATGGAATATGTGGCTTGGCATTAAAAAGGGTAGATTCATATTTGAGGATTGCGCAAAAATTTTTTAATAAATGGATGAAAGCTAATAATCGTAAAATGAATGCATCAAAATTAGAATTTATTCTATTTGGGAGTAAATAAAACATTGAGCTAAAAAAGTGATCAACACTAGAAAAAGAAATTCGTTGCGAGCAACGAGAGGTCTTCCGTCCGATTCTGAAAAAAAAAAACCTTCTTCTTGTATAAACTTCTAAAACAGTACATATGTCTTAGAATAATGAAAGGCGGGTTACTATTCAAAATTTAGCGCCAAACGCCACGAGTGAATCTTTACTCCTTTTCTTTGGAATGTCCCATTAAATAGGTGTGAAAGCTTCAATGGATATAAAAAAGAACGTTATTATAGCTAAAATTTCAAGGTAAAAAAATTGTTTGTAACACATTTACAAATTCTATGACGTAAATAGATAAGTAACACTAAATCAATGAAACTGCTATAATTTTTTACTTTTTTTAATTTCCCTGTTTATCCCTATACTGAACTATATTGATTAGTTAAACTTTCATGAAAAGGTTGAAATGTTTCGCCGAAAAACATGTGTCGCCCTAAGACGGTAAAGGAATCAGATTACATTTATGTTCAATAACTTAAATCAAATCTTTGAGACAAGAATATTAATATCAACTCAATTCTTCAAAAAAATCTTTTTCTTATGTTTTTCTTTCCTATTAGTCAAGTGTGCATGAGCAAAACAGTGGATACGTTTAATACTTTCTTTATATATATCGATAATGTTTCTTAAAACAATTATTTGTAACCTTCATTTAAGATCTGTTTTTCTGCAAAACAAATGATAGTAGGTATGTATTTCATTTGTACATTTAGTCTTTTCTTTTTCTACTTTGAGAACCAGCCGAAACCAATTATAGAAGACGTTTGAGACGACCATGGATTTAAACTTAGTTTGCCACAGAATTGCAACGTAACAACATCGTGACACTCCCCGTCTTCCTTCACATTTCATTTATTGTCATCTCTCACGAGAGATGACACATTAAGTTTGATTTCCGGATGTGAGGTCCCAGTGTAAGCAGCCATTGAAAATCGGTAAGCCTCGGATGATTACGCTCGTGCGGGGCAAGAACTATCCGAGGAGCACAGAGTGGTCACTTTGATGATGATGCGATTTTCTAAATATAGAGCGGTAAACAATGAGCGATCCAATCATTGAAAAAGAAAAATCACAGAGGGCCAGACACACAATATCGCCTGCTGGTTGTTTGCATGGTGTTCAAAATATATGTACTTATTTAATCATCTACATGTTTATATGTAGGCTACTGCGTAAATGATCTATGGTCTGTACTAGATGGAATATTCTAACTAGGTCGGCGCGTTGAATCACAAATGATCTGCTGAGGCGTGGATCCAAGAATTAACAGAAAAATACATTTACATTTAGCACTATTTACTGCTATGAATTGATGTCGAAAATTTTTTTATGGTTGTCATTCTATAATTTATTGCCATTTTTCCACCAAAAAAAATACATGCATGAGGATAAGAGGAGACAAGAATATATTTGAAAAACTACGAGCAATTTGGAAGAAAACTCACAAAGATTATGATCGAGTATTTTCTTGAATGTTTACAGTTTTCTTTTTAATCATATACCCCGGTATAATAAAAGAACTTGCAATCATTTTTATACAATTTTCAATTGTATTAAATTAAAAAAGTAATCAAATCACCTTTTCTATTTTATTGAAATTCAAATGAAGCCAAAATTAAGATATACTCACCGTCAATGGAAACGCAACACCCTATTTTTAGGTTGAAAATTATATTAGAGTTATAACTATGTACCAAAAAGTTAGGACAACTTTTACTTTGCCAAATCAATGATTTAACGGTTGAATGAATTTCTTTCCACTACCGAAAGTTGCTTTCTAGCCCTCTTAACAGAA